GGATCATATAATAAATTCCTTCTGTTTAGCTTTCTTTTGAGAATTAAAATCTGTAATATAGATTTCATAGAGACTATTACATCAATACTCTTGTTTTTAAATTAAATCATAACTCAGATTCCTTATAATAAAAATTGTCCAATAGTATTTTAGGAACACAAGGGTTAATATGTAAACAATGCCAAAATTTATGTGGTAAATAAAAGGTGTAAAAAAAAGTTAATGCATTTGAAGCAATAAATTAACATGTAGACAGATGGTATAACTTTCCTGTGAAAATAAGATTCTAAATTTTACACTTCTGTGAAACCAAATGTGATTATCAGAGTTCTTTCTCTAACAAGTCCTACTGGGATTGATGAAATTGCATCCCTTGAGTTTAGAAAATGCTAATTACCTGCCACATAGTGCTAAAAAGAAATTACTTACTGGACAAATATATACCTTCTGGTTTTATTTATCATATTGTGGGAAAGAAAATTCAAAATACTAAAACATTTTTAAATTTTAGATATAATGTATACTATGGGAATGGTCAATGAAACAAGTAGACTTGTAGGCATGATAATTGTAAAATGAATAATGAAGGAATTGGAGGGTTGCTCAGTGGGCAAATTTCTTCTGTGCAAGTCTGAGGATCAGAGTTTGGATCCACAAAACCCACATAAATGTTCTGCATGGAGCTATTCACCTGCAGTCCAAGTGTAGGAGATAAGGAGCAGATATAGGAGAATCCTAGGGATATACTGGAAAGCCAGCCTAGCTGAAGCAGTGAACCCTGGGTTCAGAGAGAGACCTTGTCTCTAAAAACAAGGTAGAATACTAATGAGAAAGACACTTGACTTCAGCTTTCCTTAGCTTAATGAGATAATGCTAGCAAAACTATTAAACATTAGCATTTACCTAATATTCATACTTAAATGTCATGTCAAGGTCTTATTACATTAAATACCATGCCATTCTGAATATTTTTCTCCAGATATTATCACTAAGTTTGAAAGACAACTATTGAAAAAGATCACTGTATTAATTTCATTTTGTTAAAAGATATTTAATTTTTTTAAGATGACTTTATTCATAGTTTTCAGGATATGTAGTTTTAGAATGAATAAAATTTGGAAGCTATAGTAAAATATATAACTTATTTCTTTGTTCTCCTTATGATTATGATTGATAGTCAATATGGAAAATGCACTTGTAGTTTAAAAAGCCCTTAAACAATTATATTCAAGAAATCCTGGTGTTTGTTATACTTAACAAGCTAATATGTGTTTCTGTTGAATTCCAACTTCCAATAGTCTCATTGGAATGACTTTCTTCCAATGTACAGAAGAATTTGAACAACTTACTAGTGACTAAAAAAATGCATAAATAAAGAAAGAGTTCCATAAATTCCAGTAAATTATCTATAGGAAACAGGAGCTAATAACTTGTTGGGAAGATAGGAACAGCAATGTTTCATAAAAGAGGTATGAGGGAAAACCCAAAGCATTGAGTGTTGTGTTCTTTATGGAGGGAGGGATTTACACATCACATCACCAATTTACTATGGGTTGTGGAATATCGAAATCAAAGTGATGACTAATATGAGCATGTATTATTGAAATCCCACGTATAATTTGTTAGAGAAACAAAATGTTCCAGGAAAAAAAGAAAACAGGAGGTCAGAGGCATTGTAAAAGTAAAATGTAATTCCCAAAGCCAAGGTAAGAAAGATTTTTTTAAAAAGACATGCTATATGGGGATGGTTCTCTAGTAATTTGAGAAAGCAATTCTCAGACTATGGTGGGGAAGGGAAAGAAAGAAGATGGTTAAATGGCAAACTGGTCGATACAGGCTAAAATGGTGAAACTTTCACAGAGAAGTTGTCAAGCTTTCATGGAATCTTAAGGTAAGAAGTGGCAAGCTTAGAACATGGGTGTAGCTCAGTGGTTAGAATCTATATTCTTTTAGATTAAATACTTATTTTACACACACACACACACACACACACACACACACACGGGGGGGGGGGGGGAGGGAGAGAGAGAGAGAGAGAGAGAGAGAGAGAGAGAGAGAGAGAGAGAGAGAATAAAATAAAATAAAAAACTAAACAAACAGCAGCACAATACAACTCAATAAAAAACAAACTAAAAAGTCTTGGTTTATTGTAGAGTGATTTAGAAATAATATAAATGTCTTAAAAGCAATGTGAAAGGTCATAGTGATGAGATTGAATGTGGAAAGAGACACATATATAACTTTTCAAAGCAGAAGATGGAATGGTAAACAAGGATCTTTGTTTTGAAACAAATAGGAAATGAGTAAAGATTTGCCAAATTCACTTCAGGTGTCATTCATTTATCAATTAATCTGGGTACAGCCTCTTGGAAGTAAGTACTAGAGAATGGGTAATTTTCAATCTGTGGCTGTGATAAATATCCAGACAAAAGCAGATTAAGGAAAGATGGCTTTATTTTAGATTATAGTTCCAAAAGGAATTAGTCCATCACAGCATGGAAAAACGGGGCAGCGGGCAGGAAAAGCATAGTGGCTGAAACAGAATGCTGCCAGTCATATTGGATCTGCATTCACGGAGCCCAGAGTGAGTGAGAAGTGGGGATGGGCTGTAAAATCACAAGGTATATTCACTTCCTCTACCAACCTCCCCAAATGGGGGACCAAGCTGGAGACCAAGTGTTTAAACACATGAAACTATGTGGAGGAGGCATTTCACATTCAAACCACATCAGTAAATATTGTAATATTCCTGATAAGCATTGGTTTACTGCCTATTCCTTTACTGCTTTTTAATATTCCTTGATTTCCTTTTATGGAATCACTCAAGTTCCAACATAAATGTGCTGCACTTCGAAGTCTATGTTTGTGCCTTGAATTACAGAAGCAAAAGCAGTGTGTCTGTTATCATCCTAGTCAAGAATCATACATGTGTCCATAGTTTAGACAGAAGAGTGACTACCAAGACATTGAAACTTGGCATGACAGTGGACGAAAGTTGTGAACACATACTTGCTACCTGCTGTGTTCTGGCAGATCCTTTCAAATAACCACACTCAAATTCCCACTGTTTGTTTCTATTGCTATCTCGGTCTTGTCCTTTTGAGGCTCTTTCTCCATTCTATGAGCTTCTGAAATCAAGCCTGGAAGCTGGGCGTGGTGGAACATAACTGGCATCCCATCTAGCATTTGGGAGGTAGCAACAGGAGGACCAACAGTTCTAGGTCATCCTTAGGTTTACAGGGAGTTTGAGACCAACCTGGGCTACAAGAGACCTTGCAATGACAACAACAACAACAAAATGCAAAATAAGAAAGCAAACAAAAAAAAAAACAAGCTTTCAAATTTCTGTTGGCTTAAGTTATCAATAAGTATTTGTATTCAGCATATCCTCCATCTACCCACAGGCCTTCAAGAGTCACAGACACATAGCTTGAAGACTGAAGAAGAAAAAGCATTTCTAAGTGATTCTAACATAACCACCTGAGTCAATTGGAGGTGACAAAGAATTACCAGCAACACCGAAAACCTCGTTAAATCAAAATGACCATAAACTTATCCTTTTATGATCTCCAAATGTAATCAATCATCATTTCATCGACAATATAGCTTTTTAAAAAAATTTGGACAATGGTTTCCCATTTCATCAAGATATTAGTTTTTTTTTTTTTTTTTTTTTTTTTTTGGTTTTTCGAGACAGGGTTTCTCTGTGTAGCTTTGCGCCTTTCCTGGAACTCGCTTTGGAGACCAGGCTGGCCTCGAACTCACAGAGATCCACCTGGCTCTGCCTCCCGAGTGCTGGGATTAAAGGCGTGCGCCACCACCGCCCGGCAAGATATTAGTTTTTTATAAGTATGTCATGGGGCGGGAGAAGTGGCTCAGAGGTTAAGAGCACTAACTACTCTTCCAGAGAACCCAGGTTCAATTCCCAGCACCAACATGGCAGTTCACAACTGTCTGTAACTCCAGTTCCAGGGGATCTAGCACCCTCACACAGACATACATGCAGACAAAACACCAATGCACATAAAATAAAAATAAATAAATTATAAGTATATCATATAACATGTCCCTGAAGACATCATTGTATATAGCAAGTAAAGACAGTGAATTTAGTTGCAAAAATAGTATTTCCAGCAGAATTTTCCTAGACTGAGTAATCCGAGAAATAAACACATTATAAACCATCCTAAGATCTCTGAAGTACTGTTAAGAACTGATACCACAAATGTAGAAATTTACTGTGATTTTCAAGGGCAGATGTTTAGAGGGTCAACTCTTTTAGCCTAGACTTTGATAGAGCTCTTATTAATGATTAGGAAAGGAATAAGGAATCTAGATACAAGTGAGGGAAAAGTAATCACATGTACATTCAAGTCTGGGTTTTATTTCTAATCAAACATTTAACTGGGTAACTCAGATGACCTTCTCTTTTCTTTTTTCTTTCTTTACCCATAATTTGAGAAGATTAGACAAATTTTCAACAAGCTCAAACCTTCTAGAATTTTCACTGTGATTTCTCTATGTAGCTTGATTCCCATATGGTGCCTTTATCTGAAAATAGTACAAATGTGGGAAGAAACCTAGGAGGAGTGTGGTGACGGCCCATGAGTATCAGATGAGGAATTTCATGAAGTTGCTTATATTAGAATTCAAGAGTATAGACGACCTTAGCAGACTGGGCTATAGGAATAACCATGCCAACTCATTCACTGGGCAGTGTCATGATTAAAAGTCATTAAATAGATTGGATTTAAAGTCATAAGGAAGTTTAAAACCAAAAATTAGATGTTGCATTTTACTAACATATACTGTACTTTTTGTCCTCAATTTCTGGAGAGAAAAATATGTCACTCTATCTATTTTCAGTCTTTACTTCTGTTTGTAGAGAAGATACACTTCTCTCGGGAAATTGTCTGTTGAGTACCATGGCAACCACATCCTTTCAGTCAAGTCTGTCCTGTGGGCTGCGCAATTTAAGACATTTGAAAATGCCACTGAAGAAGATAACACCAAACAGACATGAAAGGGTATCCTTTAGCATGAAAGTGGGAGATGTTCTTAGTGTTTGCTTAAATGAAATGCCAAGAATGGGGAGGGTGAAGAGGAATCAACCAATCCAGAAACTCTGAAAATCCCAATGCCCCCTCAATCTTGCATTATGTCAGAGTGTGCTGTTTGCTCCTTTCCTGCTTTTCAGCATTGGGGTTGAAGACCATGGTTAAGGAGGACAAAGGACAGAAATGGTAAGACTTTAGCTAAAAGGTAAGGAGGGTTACAAAGACTGGTGGCATAGTCCTTACAGGGCTCTGTGTACATAGGACATCCCCAAGGTCCAAGTGAGCACATATCTCTTCTATGACAGAAACCCAGACTTCCAAATATTAGAAGGACTATGCCTTCTATGTCAACACAGAAATTGAGAACCACTGGCTGTTCAATAATGGGAAGTGACATTTTCCTACGATATGCAATAGAGAGACGTAGTTGTGGGGCACTGTGGAACACAGGATATAGCACAGGCCTCCAGGGATGAAGTTTAGTTCCTCTCCGTTGGTTGGCGAATAGGGTGGGACAGGAAAATGCAACCATTATGTGATAATAAGAAAACTATTGAGGCTGGAGGGATGGCTCAGCTGCTAAGATCACTTGTTCTTGTATAGGAACCAGGCTTGATTGCTAGCAACTGTACCGTGGATGGCTCACAATCATCCATACCTCCAGTTCCAAGGAATCAGATATCTTCTTCGGTCCTCTGCAGGCACCAGGCACACCCTTGGTGCACAAACATACATGTGAGCAATACACTCATACACATAAGATAAAATTTTTGAAACCCGATTTTTTTCAAAACAGAAACTACTTCTAAATGTGCAAAGTCAGTAATCAAACTGCAATGTGATGTACTTGTATCCCACAGGACAGCTGAACATTCTTTGGAGGCAACACTATAATAGTGAGGTAAATGGCTTTCTTCCCTTATTAAATATTAATGTTCTATATAGTAAGTGTTCTATATAGCAAGTAAATGTTCTATATAGATATTTAAAATAAAAATTAGTATTTTAATTTTAGCTTTTAAAAGGAATGCTAAATTATTGAATGTAATAATAATAAAACAGTTTTTTTAGGTTATTTTATGTGTATAAATGTCTTTCCTATATACATTTATGTACACCATATGTGTGCCTGGTGCACGCAAAAGTTAGAAGGCAGTCTTGGATCTGTGAAACTGGCATTACTCATGGTTGTGATCGTCCATGTGAGTGCTCTGAACTGAACCTGTGTCCTCTGCATAAGTAACAGGTGCTCTGAACTGCTGAGCCATCTCTCCAGTCTCAAAACAGTATTTTTAAAGTCTTTTCTAAGCAACAACTTTATTAAGAAACAAGTATATGTATTTTATAGTAAAAAGGGTTAAACACCTAAAGGAGAAATTGATTAGGATATTTTACATAGGATTTCCCATATTAATAGTTTGTTGTGTGTGTATACATCAATATTTAGTGTCATTTCAATCAATTAAATAGACACTCTATGTCTTGTTTAATCCATGTTTAGAAAGTGCATGCCAATAAAGACATGCTTTCCCTTGTATCTGAGGTAGTATGTCTCATTAATATTACTATTGTTTTTTCTAGTTGTGTAAATTTTCTTTAATATTTTTAGGAGCTCTATTGTGTACTTAACAAAATATTTGAAGGTAGTGAATATTTCTGGTGATTTGATGTGGGGATGATCAATGGAAGTACTCAGTGCTACTTGATTTTTAATAAAATTTTCAGTAAAGGGAGAAAGGATTCAATAATAGCATCATGAATTTTAATGTTTTTCTATTAGGTAAAACTGGAGTCTCTTCTAACATTATTTACTTCAAATTTTTGACAAACAATATTCTTCTTTCAACACTAAAATGATTGTTACAGAGATGGGCTATCATATTTAGAAAGCTTGAAGTTTTTTATTTTTGTCTTTTTCATTCTCTCTTTAATTATGAAGTTTGAAGATGAATGGCTGCTCCTAGGAAAGATTATTCTGAGTGAGGTAACCCAGAAAGAGAAAGACAAACTCACATGGTATCTATCATCTGCTGCTTCTAGCTCCAAATCTTCAGATGTAAGTCTACAGCATGGAGTGACTGCAGAATCTAGGAAGACGTAAAGGGGTCATGGGTTGGGGGGCTTGTGGGGGGAAATAGGAAGATATGGGAGATATGAAGGGAGGAAACAAGAAATACAGGGAGGGCACTGTATTGAGGTGGAAGAGGAAGGTCAACAGGGAAGGATAAAGAGGGAAGAGGGAAAAATAACAAAAAAGATTGTTGATAAGGCCTCAAGAAAACATACTATTTTTATTATTATAAAATCTACATGTATACACACACACACACACACACACACACACACACACACACACACACACACACACAAAATGATGCATGCCGCTTGGACTGACATTGGTCCCACAATAGGCATAAACTATCAAACAAACACCAGTACCAGGCATGATAAACCTCCGCTCTAGCTGTTGGTCAGAGTAGTTCAAGTGACTCCTATATTGGTGTAGTCCCTGGTTGCCTCTTAGAGGTCCCTATTGCTGAAAATACTGCATACATAGGATGCAGGTCTCTGATGATCTGAGATGGATGTAACCTGAAAGCCTCCTTCCTATAGTCTAGTTTCCATAGTACCAGAAAGTACTACTCAAGCTGCCAAGGGAGAGACACAATCAATAATCCTATACAGGTATGAAGCCTATGAACCATAACAATAACCAACAAAGCACGATGTTACTAAAGGTGCAATACTGGGGCTCATATGTTGACATTAACTAACAGCTGTCTAATTAGACTTAAGGCCGACTCAACTGGAGGGAAATCATGCCTAGTACTAGAAACCTAGCCGTACATGGGGCTAGTGGGCTCATGAATCAAAGAAAAGAACTTACTGCTGCCACTATACTTGGCAAAATCATAACTACACTCTAAAACTTATCCTTTCATACTCATAGATAAGTGTCGCTATCACATCTCATCAGAGAAGCTTCCCTTTACAGTAAATGGGAGAACATAAAAAAAAAATCCACAACAAGACACATGGAGACCAACTGATTGTGGAGAGTTCATGCCAAATAAATACATCTATAGCACAACTCCTGCACCTAGGGCCCAGGAACATCATGGAAGAGGGGGTAGAAAGATTGTAAAAATCAGAGGACCAAGAAGTCTGCCATGAGACTGTCTCCCAGATGTGGCTGCACAAGCAAGACCTCAATGACAAGCTAATGTGGAAGTGGGAATAACCCCATAGGTTCCCACTTATCCCATAGACAACCCATAAGAGAGGGACACCTAGTCTCCTCCAGGGATGTGCCCTCTAATTGGTTAACTAATACAAAGTGGTCAGCCTGTGGTGATACTGTGTTCCCCAATATATTGTGCACCCTAATAAACTTATCTGGGGTCAGAGAACAGCTACTAGGTATAGAGGCCAGAAAATGGTAGCACACACACCTTTAATCCTAGCATTCTGAAGGCAGAGATCTGTCTGGATCTCTGTGAGTTCAAAGCTACACTGGAAACAGTCAGGCATGGTGACTCATGCCTTTAATCCCAGGAAGTGATGGCAGGAAGCAGAAAGGTATATAAGGCGTGAGGACCAAGAACTAGGGACTGGTTAAGCTTTCAGGCTTTTGAGCAGCAGTTCAGCTGAGATCCATTTAGATGAGGACACAGAGGCTTCCAGTTTGAGGAAACGAGATCAACTGAAGAATTGGCGAGGTGAGGTTAGTTGTGGCCTGTTCTGTCTCTCTGATCTTTCAGCGTTCACCCTAATACCCAGCTCCAGGTTTGTTTTTATTAATAAGATCTTTTAAGATTCATGTTACATCAGCCCACAAAATCATATATATATACAAATGACAAAAACAGACTCACTATATTGTATTTATATATTTGTGTGTGTGTGTGTGTGTGTGTAAAAGAACAATAAAGAAAAAAAGCCAACAATTGGAGAGTGTGGGGAAGGATATTTGAAAGGTTGGTGGGAGGAAAAGGAAGGGGTGAAGTGATATAATTATATTTTAATTAAAATATATTCATCTACTATAAAAATATTTATTAAAAATAAACCCAAACTTTTACATTACTTTAAGGTCTACTCTTTAAGGTTTACTCTTTCATACATGCAAAAATATTTATATACATGCTATGATTTAGATATATGCTTGTGTCAGGAAATAGGAAGGAGGCCCAAAGGAATTACAGGCTGGTAAGTAAAGAACTTTTTAAAACTGGAAAGATTTTATACATGTTAGGAAGGCTATGTAGAAGTGACAGGGCTAGATGGGTGGTGCACGGATGAACCTTCCATTTGGAAGATTGAAGACACTTACAAAACAGGTAAAAATGAGAACATTGTCCTGAAACATTAACAGGGTTCACCAAACAGCCCAAATGATGGGCTTTTCTAAGGAGAATTTCTCTAACTTCTAAATTTGCATAATGATCAAAGATACTTTAAAAACTTTCTGGACAGAAACAGTTGAATGTAATGGGTAAAAGAATAGTTCACATGGCTAGAGAAATAGGTGAATGACTTTGGTGGAGTCTCTCCAGTTCTACGGTCCATTCTTTCTTGATGCTGGTGGGAAACTGTCAGGATGAAATAGATCATTCCTCTAATTTGCTGCATGGTTACTCACTCTGAATTCCTCATATCTAGTCTATTCCTGGAGAAATATAATGGAAATAACAACAGAAGTGTGATTTGAGCCCCATGAATACATTTTCTAACAGCCATTTTCAAAGTAGCAACAGCAAAAGAGAATAATTTAAATGATATATTTTACTCAACAAAACACAGGACATAAAGCAAAATCATTCTAACAGCCAATCAGTAACTCAAAATCACTTAAAAAGTTTTTTCCTGCTGTCTTGAAAATCCAGTGCATCTCAATTCATAGACTAAATTTTCATGAGAAGCACTATATATATATATATATGGTACAATTTATAGTATAGTAAGAAATCAGATTCACATTCCAAAGTTACTACAAACAAAACTGAAATTTTCACTGAATTGAGTACCTAAAATTACCTTGCTGGATGATGCACAATAACAGTGATTTGTTCCTTTGTTTTGAAAAATGAATTAGGATCTTAAGCTAAAGTTTATCATTTTATGTTTTCTAAAATGTATGCCTATTCAAGATAATTAAAGTAACGTGTGTCAGTTCAGCTTTAAAATAATATTAGAGTATTTAATAAAGTGAAAAGCCATTCTATACTTACAAATAAAAAAATTACTCAAAATTTTCTCATAATGTTTGTGCCAATTTACATACTACTATTTTTTAGAAATAACGCTTTTCCTGCAGTGTTGGGGATTGAATCATGGACAGTGTACATTCTAGGTAAGCATTCTACTACTGGTGTTTACTCCTAGCCTATAGTTAAAAATTTAATACACATTGATTGCCATAACAAAAGTATATAAACTCAATAGTTTTAAGAAAATTACAACAAATTTCAATTTTAAAATAAATTGTATCTATCTAGCTACATCAAAAATATGCTTTTCCTTTCCGTGGAAATTCAAATTTAGTTTATTCGTGTAATGAACAGTGATTTTTTATTTAAAGCAAAGCACACATTGTGCTGCCATTTTCATCTCTGATTACTTAATATCTGGAAAGAATTATTTTTGTTTAAAGAAATGTTGAGTAAGAATTAACAGTGGGCCAACAAGAAGCTCAGCACATGAAAAGCACATTCTACCAGGCCTGAAGTCCTGGCCACTGGGCTAGATTTTTCCCAGCTTACATGGTAGAAGGAGAATGCCCACTTCTGCAAGTTCCACACATGCGCATTGCATATGTACCGTTCCATATACATAATAATCAAGTGTAAAAACTAATTTTTAAGTGAATCAAAGGGTTCAATGATTTATCATTGTGGATGC